CCCCAAAACCCCAAAACCCCAAAACCCCAAAACCCCACATATAAAAGATAGACTGGATATATTAAATTAGATCTAAAAATGATGAAATATGAGACATTTGGTCATAAGAAACTTCATTGGTAACAAAGTGTTCTTGTGAAGGAGTGTTAGTGAAGCTTCTGTAACCCTCTGGTATCTTTCCTTACAGCTCTTGGCTTTGTGATATGTATTAGTTGGTCTGGCAACAATTTATCTCAACAGAGTGTGATCAACTTCTGAATAAAGAATTGCTTTTTAAGTGTAATTTTGTATCAGTTGTTTCTATCCGAAGCTATCGAGCTGCTCAAGAACTTCTCTCTGGCAATCTTATGGTTGTGATTATCAAAGAAATACTACTTATAGCCTATCTTAGAATTGATACTCAGCAAATGTTGAAATATGCTATAATCATAATTTTCTGGATACTTCCAAATTTGTCTCTTAAACTGGATTGATTGAGATACATCCTTTGAAGTCATTAGAAAAAGATTTTATTGGTTTTAAAGCAGGCATGTCTCTCAGGACTTTTCCATAGCAACTAGTCCGCTAGAGTAAACACTGAAGATTCTTTAGACAGCATGCTTTTAATCTAGGCACCCATGACTTCGAGTTTACTTTTAAATGATTTTTCAAAACCCATCTTGCTTATATTTGCCTCTTTTGCTATTTGTCTTGGAACTGGGTCATACATGTTAATAAAACTAAGCTTTTAGGGAATAAGATTCTGGTCCACCCGATTTGAAAAGATCTGACATGGATTAATGGCACGAACAATACATCTTATCTTGCTATAAGTAAGCCTATCATCTTTATAACTTGGTATTCACATTTATCTCAGAGATTTTACCCCTATATATTCTTACCTAGAATTGAATTTAGTTTCAACTAAGTAAGATCAGACCGGTAAGGCTGGACTCACATACATTTTTATCCTATAATTTTCTTGACTAATTACTCTCCATGGTATCACTTTTAGAAAGAAATATACAACAATATTTCTCCTACTTATTGTCCTATAGGAGGGTTTACTTAGATGCTCAACTCTTGAATGGGAAATGTGTATAATATGTATGAATAGTGCAAGTTCTGGCAGAAAAAAGTTCTGTATTTAGGACAAAAATTAGTTTCTAACATTTAAAAGACTAAAATTAAACCAAAATCTCTGTTTTTGCCAATAAAGGTATATTTATACTAAGGCTCAGGGCTAATTCAAATTTTAGAAATATCTATGAGGCTAGATAATATCCTAGAGCACGTTCTATGCGAGAAAACCGGCTACAAATGGATAAGTGTAAAGTCTTTGTAGAGTTTCCCATTCTATATTTCATCAGCTTTATACAACTAATTCTCTCTCAAAATAAACTTTATTAGACATCTGAAGAAGTTCACCGAGGAAGTTAGAGTTTAAGGCTTGATGTAGGACTCAATAAGCCTTGAAGACCCCATTCCTTTCTTTATTAATATCCAGAGCGTAGTTGTCCACCCAGGCTAGGTCCTTAGCATTCTGAGCACTCTCCTGGATTTCAAGTGGGGTAAATATAGTCATTGCCAATATGGTATCTTCTCTAATAACTGTATCTTTCATTTTGGGCTATAAGGTGATGTAAGATTTGATATATAAAGAGAATTTAAGAGCCTGAGATTTTGCTGAGAGTCAAAATATTGGTGACTGATAGTGGAGTTCTCATAGTCAGCCAATCAAACAGCAAGAGCTTGATAAAGATTACGAGAATTTAGAGTAGTTCGCTGTTACTCAGGAAGTCAAATATACAAGTGTTATTTATATTAAGGGAATTTTTTACAACTCCAGCTACTATAGTGAATGTCAAGCTGTACGCTAGAAGACCACCAGTAATCACTTCAGTAAGTTGATAGAGACCTATGATACTTAAGTAGATTATCTAGGAAGACAAAGAGAGCTTCAAGTTTGAGAAAAATACTATTCTTCTCCTTTTAACTGCTTTAATTTAAGTTATCCTCAAAATTAATATGGAAAATAATTTTCTCTTATTTACAACTCTAAACCATCAGAGATATCAGATTCATACAGATTAGCTTGCTGAGGATCTCTGTCCCTAGCCAAATCAGACTCGTTTTCAGTTTGTACTAAGTCATACCTTCACTCTAATCTCTAGAGCAAGGTTTGAGACCAGCCAAGATTTATGAATACCGTTGTAAGAACTATTTTATCAAGCTATAAAATACCTTTGTTAGAGCATCACAAAGGATGTAAACCTTTCAGCCTTAGATTGTTCATTGATAATGGAGTCATTAAAGCTCTAAAATTGAAAGAAATGGCTAAGCCTTGTTTAAACCAGCACAGAAATCTCTATTGTTTAGTTTCAGCAGGAATGGGCTTAAATCTCTCTTTTGGTGACAAATTGGGGGATAAGACCAGGAACTGCCTTAACATTAAATTTTGATTTTCGTGTTACAAGGGATATGAGCATGGAAGTTTAAACGAAACTCTATACGACTTATTCAAGATATAGAAGATAAAATTTCCTCAGGAAGCAGATGCCATTGTGTGGTGATTAGGTAAAGGTCTTGGAATACTAACTATAGTAGTCAAAGCATAAAGGGATATTATGGTAGCTAAGAATACTCTAAAGTTCTTTGTCAAGTCTGTTTTCATGGAAATTATAACTAAGGCAATTCAGTCTATTCACAAGTTTTATCTGAGACTCAATTTGTCCTCTACAAAATAGTTATTTTAAATAGTGTCGCTTTGGTTACCTCTAAGCATGATTCCACGAAGAAGTTCAACCATCTATCTCGTGCAATAACTTACAATTTTGGAGTGTAAATTCGGGGTTTTGGGGTTTTGGGGTTTTGGGGTTTTGGGG